AAAATTAAGAAATAAGTAAAATATTTTTTATTTTCATTCATACTTATTATTTTTGGTGCATTTTATTTTACTTTATTTTTTCTGAGTTGAGGGTTCTCACTCTGTCCACCCAGACTAGAGTGTAGTGACATGATCACAATTTACCACAGCCTTGAATTCCTGAGCTTCTCATATGATTCTCCTGCCTTGGCCTCCTGAATAGCTAGGACTATAGATGCGTGCCACCATGCCCAGCTAATTTTTTGATTTTCTTGTAGAAACAGGTCTCGCTATAAGTCCTGCCCAGGTTGATCTCAAACTCTTGAGCTCAAGTGATCTTCTTGCCTCAGCCTCTGTTGGGATTACAGGTGTGAGCCATTATGCCTGACTTGATGCTTTTAATTTCATTGTATATATCCATATTTTCATGTGATATATTCCTTCTGTCTGACTAGTTTCTTTTAAAATATCTTGCAGGTCTAATGATGACAAATTCTCTTAGCTTTTCCTGTCTGAAAATATTTTTATTTTGCTTTCACTTTTGAAAGATATTTTTTCTGGCATAGGATTCTAAGCCAATAGATATTCCCCCTTCCCCCCTTTTAGCAATTTAAAGATTTTTCTATTGTCTTTTGACTTGCACAGTTGTAGGGGAGAAGTCTGTGGTCATTTTCATATTCAGTCTTTTTTACATAATTACTTTTTTTCTGGCTGGTTTAAAAACTTTTTTTTAAACATTATTTTTAAACAATTTGATTATGATATCTTTTGGTGTGGTTTTATTTGTGTTCTGCTTAGAATTTATTGAACTTTCTGAGTGAATATAGTTTAGCAAAATTTCAACCATGGTTTCCTCAAATATTCTCCCCCTGTACCTCAGACTTCAGTTACACATAATTTATGCTGCTTAATATTGTTCCCTAAAGCTCTGCTTATATTTTTTCAAATTTTCTGTGCTTAATTTTGGATAGTTTGTGTTGCTCTATTCTCAAATTCATTGATAATAATTCTGCAGTTTTTAGTATGCAAGATCTGAAATGAAAATTTCTCTGGATGACATTAATTGCAGATTGAACTCTGCAAAAGGAAGTAGGTTCATTGCTGATTTCTTAATTGTGAGGCAAATAGGCTCTAAAGAAAATGTTAATCTAGATCCGAACTAAATAATTGTTTTTAAATAAGTCATAAAAGATTCAGACTAATGTACGATAAACTTAACTGTTGAACAGAACAGATTCAAACATTATTCAGCACTCAGTAATGTAAAATTTACAATGTCTGACATCCAACAAAGAGATCTTCTGGGATCTCTCCTGAATGTCTTATGTATTCAGTGATGACTTTTTATTCTGGTAATGAGAAGATATGAATAATTCTCAGCCCTGCGTGAGCTCTGGGAAATGTTTTGCTTACAGCTCCCTAGTAATTGTTCTTTCCCCAGAAGTTCTTCATTGTCCAGCTTTGTAGTGTTTCATGTTACACATAGTAACTTGATATTCCACTAAAGACTGCAGAGGGCTGTTATGCCAATTTCTGGAGTTCTTTCTCAGTGGAAGACTTTCATTTCTGCTACTCTGTCCCCCAAATTCTAGCCTCCCTTTTGGACTTAACAAACTAGCAGCCAGCCTTATTTATTTATTTATTTTTTTTGAGTTGGAGTCTCACTCTGTCGCCCAGACTGGAGTGCAGTGGCTGCTCCCGGCCACCGCAGCCTTGACCTGCTGGGCTCTGGCGATCCTTCCGCCTCAGCCTTCCAAGTAGCCGGAATTACAGGCATGTGCTACCACGCCTGGCTGATTTTTTGATTTATTGTAGAGATGAGGTCTCGCCGCCCAGGCGGGTCTCGAACCCGCGGGCTCAGGCAATCCACTCACCTCAGCCTTCCAAAGGCACGGGATGACAGGCTGAGCCACCCAACCTGGCTGCAGCCAGCCTTTCTTTGGGTTCCTGCTTCTGCACTGATGTCTCCAGCTGTGATGTGATCCTTAGACTCACCTTGTTTGTTTCCCCTTTGTCTGAGCTCACGAGGTTGTTTTCAGCTAGAAAGTTGGTGTGAATTACTCCGTTCACAGTTGGCAGTCTGCAGTGTCTTGTTGGAGAATTTTTTTTGGCCAATTTGTATATACAACTTTTAGGAATGTAGATGAAAATAAAATACTTATTTAAGTTTCTATGTGTATATATATGTATTCAAATCACATGGAGGAGGGAAGAGCTGAGAAAGCAGTAGAGAAGTGGAGTAGCTGATTGATGCTGCAAACCTCTTGGTTAGTTAATTGTCTGATAAATTTGCCTAAATCTGTTTGGTTTTTCTGGTATATATAATTTTAAAAATCCTTACTAGTAACTAGGATATCATTTTGTGGTCAGTTTTGAAAGTACTGGTATTTAATATTTTACTATTTCTGATAATTCATAATTTTAATTACACTAGAATGGCATCATTAAATGATATTTTTAATGAACGTTTAAGCTTATACGACATTTAATTATCAATAATTTTGGCTACTATATTGGAGAGCACAATTCTGCAGGCTGAATCATATTTAAATTTGAGTTTAATTTTGGCAAGAATATTTCTAGGATGGTAGTGGTGTGTGTGTGTACTTCATATCGCATCATACAATAAACACATACTGTCTGGTTTGTTTTATGATACTTGGGTGAATCAGTGTTCCAGATATTGTCAGTCTGGTGTACCCTCATGAGCCTTTCAATGAGTGTTTTTATGAATTTCATTATTTTAAAATGTCATAGATAGATACTTCACTTTCTGTTATTATAGCAGCAGAATAGCTCTTTAACAGGCCCAGCTCTGGAGCTAGACTGCTTGCTACTTGACCTTCAGCAAGTGAGTTCACGTCTTTGTGCCTCAGTTTTCTCTACTGTGAGGAGCCTCAGAAGGTTGTTTCTAGGATGAAGTGTGTTAAGTGTTTAATACAGTGCATGGTACTGTGTTAAATGTAATAAATGTCAGTAAATGCTAATTGTTAATATTACTGGTTTAAAAGTTTGATTTTGCTGTCTATACACTTGGCATCTGTTTGCATGGAAAATTTTTTATTGGCATACTATTCATTATATTCTGTTTGGGCAGTGAAACCAGGTCACCTTATAGGAAAACAAAGTACCACTTAAATTATTACAAACTTACTGTATTTCTAGTATCTGTGACTTTTTCATAAGAAAAAAGGAGCATTTTACACTGTAGTTTGTAATGAAGAAAAAAAATTGAGCATGATTGGATACATATCCTAGATATTAGGAAAGAAAATTGGAAAGACAAAAAGAAATTGAGTGACTCCATGGTTTTTGAATGTGATAAAATATGGTTCTTTGGGATGGGAGTTAATGAACATAAATGTGTACAATCCTGAATCATTTGAGAACGGACGCATTTCTAAAAACCCAGTGTGACGATGCAGTGGAACTCCCAGATTAACAGAACATAGATTCAGTAGATGCAATGGGAAATGCAGAAATAAAGATGATTATGAAACTTTTTTTTTTTTGAGTTGGAGTCTCACTCTGTCACCCAGACTGGAGTGCAGTGGCTGCTCCCGGGCCACCGCAGCCTCGACCTGCTGGGCTCCGGCGATCCTTCTGCCTCAGCCTTCCAAGTAGCCAATATTACAGGCATGCGTTACCACGCCTGGCTGACTTTTTGGTTTATTGTAGAGATGATGTCTCGCTGCCCAGGCGGGTCTCGAACCCGCGGGCTCAGGCAGTCCACTCACCTCAGCCTCCCAAAGGCTCAGGATTACAGGCTGAGCCACCGAGCCCAGCTCGATTATGAAACTTTATAAACAAAGTAAGCTTATAGAAAATAAGAAAGTAAGTTTATAGAAAATGCTTAAGACAACATAAGTTGTTTTTTAAAAGTAATATTTCAGGTAAGATTAAGCTTCAAGAAGATCATTACATTTTTAAGAGGTATGGAACCATTAGTTTTCTTTTTACAGTTACCTGATTCCATAGTCTTTGAGTTGGAAAAGATGTAACAATAGTTTAAAATGAATTACAGACCATGGTAGTTGAGCAACTAGTTAATAAAACGTCTGACCTCTTTAAGTGCATTTTGTTTTCTTCATATAAATCAGTGTCTTCTCCAGCTGCCAATGGACTTGCGTAGCTCATAAAATCATTACATCATCTTTAAGAATGTCATAAACAATATAATTGGTACCTGGAAGTGATTAGATGCTATCTTGTTTTTTCAGAAAGGGATACATGTGGGTTCTGGAAATTTCAAGCTAGTAAAATGTTACTGATTTTTGGCAAATTTCTAGAAATAAATCTTAGACATTTGTGAACATTTATGAAAGAGAATACATGAATGGAGAAATTGAAATGTGTCTACTAAGAACATATATAATGCTAACTTCTTTGCTTTTAATAGGATTATTAAAGATTGGATAAATTAGAGAAATACTATAGAAACAGTTTCTTAATTTTAGTAAAATATTTGAAGAGTCTTTGGCCACATTTTTGGATAAGATGTGTTGGTAAAGTGTTGTTTCAATAGAGAGTAAGTGGGTATATTTGTAGTAGTTAGATTCATAATAGATTGGAATCTAAAACCATACTTAGATTAGAAGCTCAGTGTCACCCCTGAGAAAGATATTCAAAATATTACAGTGGGATTGTCTCAATATTCCCGTCTTTGATCTGAAAGTTTAGAAAGTAGACTTATCTGTGTGTAGCTTACTCAGGGCTGAACTTGGATAGCTGATGTTAGGAAAGACAAGAACATCTCCCTGAAACTTTACCTAATAATCTGTAGCATTTGTATCTTTTCTTAACACATCTTGATAGCTTTGTAGCATAAATTCATATTTTACGTTGCTTTAGGGGGAAAAATAACTTGACTTTTATTTTCTGTCTGCTTGATATTTTTACTAAATTAGTTTATGAATGGTATGTATCACTCATTATAGTATAATACCCTTAATGATACAAATTTGCTACTAAACTGAAAGTTGGAGCAGTCTTTGCAGAAAGTATATTTTAATTTCCTCTAGGAATATGAAGCACGAACAGGGAGGACCTGTAAACCACCACCTCAGTCTTCAAGGCGTAAGAATTTTGAATTTGAGCCACTTTCTACCACTGCCCTGATTCTTGAGGATCGACCATCGTAAGTATTTTAGTAATCATCAGAAACAGTGTTTATATTTCAAACTTTAAATTTGTTCGCAATTATGCTTAAAAGGTATTAAGAAATTAAATACAGAAATGAATTTTTCTAAAAATTTAAAATCCCTATTACGTATCCTAGAACTGATAGGAGAAACTATATTCTTAGTTGTTTTGTTTTTTTTTTTTAAGAGACAGACAGTCTCAATATGTTGTGCAAACTGGTCTTGAACTCTGGAGTTCAAGCGATCCTCCTGCCTGGGTCTCTCGAGTAACTAGGACTACAGGCATGTGATGCCACGCCTGGCAGAGAATATTTCGTTGATTTCCAAGCCTTATGCATGTTTTCTAGAAGTTTTTATGAGCCAGTATATAAAATATAAAATCTTGGCTTTTTATGTCTTTTTCTATTTCAACCCTCCGCTCCTTATCTTAACATGGTATGTCCTCAAGATACACTTGTCCTTTAATATGTCCTCAAGATACACTTGTCCTTGCCTTTTATATACTGAATGCCAGCCTATTGGCCTACTGTCGTTATTAAGAATATATTCATAATGCCCAGGAAAACCTTCTTTGTGCCCTCACAGTGCTGCTGCTCTTCAAAATATTGTCTGATATATTATTAAACAAAACACACCCTCCAAAAGCAAGATCATTTGGTTCTTAACTCCTTTTCTTATCTCTTAGGTTCTCTGGACCTGTTCTTTTAATTTTATTGGAATTATCTTTTTTCCTAGTGTAAAATTTCTTAGCTTTTCTTGCCATTTTCTTTACACTTTTCCCCACCCATTATACTGATGGCCATAATAAAAGAATATGGACCCAAATGGGAGAGTAGAATATTTTTTAGAAATTGCAGGAGATGAAAACCTGGACAGATAAGTACATTATTTTAAAATTCTGATTACTTTACTTCATACTAAAGAATTGTGATCTTGATACTTCTTTAGGATTTGATGAATATTTTATATTTTTCATTGGTAAGAAAAAAGCTTTTTAGAAATATATTTGTGAGAACATGTCAAAGTTTTATTTCATACTTGCTCTCAGGGAGGAAAATGAACCAGGCCAATTCAAAGATTCCTTTCTTGGTGGAGACATTTATAGGAAAACAAGAATGGTTAAATAAGCAAGAAAAGAATGTCTTGTTAAAATCTTTTGACAACTAACTTTCAGTTGAATAGGCAGATAACTAAGTTCCCAGAATAGCTTTCTCAACCTTGTTAAAATTCATACAAAATAGATTTTTTAAAAAGAACCAGAAATGTTAATTTCTTCGCAGAAGGGGAAAATATGAAAATACCATGCAACATTTTATGAAAATAATCACTCAAAAATTTGTGAAAATACCATGCACAAAGTTCTGTTTTAGACAGTATTTGGGACAAATCTTTCTTTGCACCATACTCTATTTTACGTCCTACCCACCTGTCTCTTTAGGTTCTTCTTTCATGCCTTTGCTCTTATTATTCTCCTTACTTGGAAAGCGTATATCTCATTTCTACTTCTCACCTTCCCAGTCCTTTAAGTATTAGGCTTGGCCTGGCACAGTGGTTCACGCCTGTAATCCCAGCACTTTGGGAGACTGAGGTTGGAGGATTGCCTGAGCAGTCCTCAGGTTTGAGACCAGCCTGGGCAACTTGGTGAGACCTCTTCTCTACATTAAATCAAAAAATTAACCGGGTATGGTAGTCATGCCTATAGTTCCTGCTACTTGGAAGGCTGATGTGGAAGGATCGCCTGAGCCCAGCAGGTCGAGGCTGCGGTGGCCGTGAGTGTGCCACTGCAATCTGCCTGGGATATAGAATGAGACTCTGACTCAAAAAAGAATTAGGCTTTGTATTTTCTATCAAGTCTTTGTTGACTTCTTCAACCTTCAGTAATAGGTACTTCTCTAAATTTTTCTTGTAACTTGTACCAACAGTTCCTAGAAATAGTGTTCAATGAAATTGACGTGAAATAATATGGTAGACACAATAGCATTGTAAGAAGAATTCAGTGTACCAAGAAATGTATAAACAGCTGAAAAAATACTTTCGTTTTTACTTTACTATTGAACTAGCTAAATCAGTATGTTAATTATAATACTTGTTGCTTTTATTGTATGTCTGTGTGTTTGCTTATCTGTAATTTAGAGATTGAATTTGATCTCTACTTTGAACTCTAAGATGGTGTGATTAACAATTTTGTTCACCTTTTTAAATTTGAAGGGGCCTTTTGATTGGGGGGAGGAGTGATTTATGTGACTTATGTTTTGTAAGTAAAACCAACATATCAATCACTCACTCCTCCTTCTACTTCAACCAATTGGAAAATAGATGTGGAGAATAGAGAGGGAAACTGCAGTTTTTATTGAGGATGAAGTGAGATTGGGGAAAGAAAAAGCCAGATGGGAATATGTGGGTACAATCTGAGTACTAAGTGGAACTGTCTACTTTATTTCTCCCGGAATACTCTCCTAGCACATTTGGGCCAGCTAACATCCATCTAGTCATAGTCTGAGAAGCTAGAATGGAGACCTGAGTAACCTGTAGGTTTTTCTGTTTATGAATGCAGGCAGGTTCAAGATGACCTATCTTGCTTTTGAGTCTTGCCTTCAACTTTGAGGTGACATCCGTGGAGGGTGGGGTAGGGTGGAGAAAAAGGCAGGAGTTCTTAGCATAGAATCGATACTGGAAACTCTCCCTTCCATAGGTCAAAATGATTATATAAGTAGAGGAAGGAGGAGTTTCTTCCTCCAAAGGGAGTTTGGTGCTACTTTTTCCTTTCTTGACTTCTGTCATTTGCAGAAAGCATCCAGAATAATTGACCTCATAGGTGTTTTTTATATATATATATCTATATATATATCTATATATAGATATATAAAAGATATATATATATCTTTTACTTTTCATAGGTTTTTTAGCTGAGCCTTTTCCTTCTGTCCCTGCTGATTTGAGATTTAAAGAAAATTAAAAGAAACAATCTTTTCTTTACAGATAGAGCAATAGTTGTAGCACTTAATGATCTGAAGTCTCATTTAGAGTATTTCAAACACAGGCGTTTCTGTAATTTCATCCTTTTGTAAATTTTGTTTTCTCTCTGCCTGTTCCTGTCCTGATTCACCTCAAAAACAAGACAGCCTTGAAGAAGAAAAGAGTGCCCAATTGAGCTGTTTGTGTTGGTGTGTCTTCTATTTTTAAAATTACTGATGCTTATAGCACTATTTTTAGAAACTGGCAATGGATAGAGCTACCTCCTTTTCTCTTCTAGCTTCTTTAGTAAGTTAATATTTGTACTAGTGCCAAACAAAATTGTAGAAATCCTGAAAGATGCAAGTGAAAGGTGAAAAAAGTAAAGTATAGGCTTTATGTGATACCTTTGAAAAGCAGCAAATGTTTATATCATGTATTTAACATATGCTGTTTTAGGCATTCATTAATTATTTTTTTCTTCCATGACCAAATGACTCTTCCATAAGAGTTGAGAATCATATCTTAAATTGTGTCTTTTTTTATAGTGCCTGAGTGCTGAGTATTTAATATTTAATTGATTATATTCACTCAGCCATTGATTTTCAAGACTGAAAAACTCTTTTTACTTACTTTTCTAGACAGAGGACTGTATAATTTGTGAGTTTTGGGGAAAAAACCAAATACTTCTCTTTTTTGTTTTTTTGAGTCAGAGTCTCACTCTGTTGCCCAAACTGGAGTGCAGTAGTATATGCTCACGGCCACCGCAGCCTCAACCTGCTGGGCTTAGGCTATCCTTCCACCTCAGCTTTCCAAGTATCTGGAACTATAGGCATATGCCACCACGCTCAGCTCATTTTTCTTGATTTATTGTAGAGATGAGGTCTCGCTAAGTTGCCCAGACTAGTCTCAAACCCGTGGGCTCAGTCCATCCTCTCACCTCAACCTCCCAAAGTACTGGGATTATAGGCGTAAGCCACTGCACCTGGCCACAAATACTTTTATATATGTATTTGTATGCAGTACTTAGCAATTGCAGTACTGAAGCACTGCTCTTCTTCAAACTGTCGATGATTACAGGATATTTACCATGTCACCCTCTCAACTTTGGACCATAATTTTTGAATACCTGCTGTATACCAGGGTTTTTCTATGGATGGTGATTCAAAGAAGGTGACACCAGGACTTATAATAATTAATAATAAACCAATTATTATTTACATATTATTTCATTTTAAGAGTATGTACATAAGTATGTTTATTTGAAAACTCATTTTCAATAAAAGAAAGCCACAATAAACTATCTGATGTAGAACTACCTGAAAAGTTCCATTTCTTGAACAATGTTTAACTCTTTCCTGTAAATCATTTCATGCTAATACTGGGGTGCTCATGACTGATAAATGCTATATACTGGTCTGTTTCTTTTCCAGGATTAGGCTAGCATAGTTTAGGGAACAGTGTTTAGAAAAGTAGAGATGTGACTTATCAGAGAGTCACATGTATAAAGGGAGCGTACTCTCTTATGACTGTGGTTTTGAGACATAATTTTCTGTTTAGTTAAAATCTGTAATCTTTGTGCATGTGCATAATTTAGTTCCATTTCCTTACATAATCCATTTCCTTACATAAATTACCTAGACGTCAGTTACTGCTCTCTTTTACTCTAGAGTCTAGACCTGCGCACTGTCTGTTATGGTAACCACTAGCCATAGCGGTTATCTAAATTTAAAGGCTGCGGTGGCCGGGAGTGGCCACTGCACTCCAGTCTGGGCAACAGAGTGAGACTCCAACTCAAAAAAAAAAAAAATTAGAAAAAATTTTAAAATTCCCATTTCTGAGACACACTAGTTACGTTTCAAGTTCTCTGGTGAAGTTAGGAGCAATCTGCCAATCTTATTGTATTGGGTAGTTTTTCAAAAATGTCCAAATGTATCATATACATCCAGTTTCTTATACATTCCTTGCTTCTTACTAGTGGTTGATTAGGAGTATACACTGGGGATATTTTGCTTATCTCTGTTGCCGAGTCATACCATAGACT